TTATGTGTGTGTTAGTGTGTGTGTGTGTGTAGGCTGAATGATCGGATCTATATCATTTTACACCAATATTTTTTTCCAGTTTTATTCTTATTATTTGTTGCACAGTTTTCTTACATGTTTTCTGAGCATAAGTGTATTATATATTCAGACTTCATGTATAATCAAGCAGGCAATTTTAACTTGTTGTTCTTTAATTTTGATTTTACGAATTTCACCACAGATTGACATCAGTTAGAGAGAACCATTGAAAACCAGCCATCGGCAGTACGCACCCACCGCCAGTGTTCGAACCCAGGACCTTCTGGTTACAAGGCTAGCGAGCTTTGTATATCATTCAGCCACTGCTGGAACCCGATTCAATGGTCAGCCGATGAATTCTAACTTCTACCAATTCGGGATTTAGTGCGACTGGCACCAACCAATGTCATCGGTGGGACATCCATCTTCACACTTGACTGGACGGACCTCACTGGTCATGAGCTTGCCTTGTAACCGGAAGGTCCTGGGTTCGAACTCTGGAAGTGGGTGCGTACTGCCGATGATTCTTAAACTAGGGCGAAACAGCTGGCTATCCAATACTCCTGGCTGGTTTTCAATGCTTCTCTAATTGATATCAATCCGTGATCAACTCGTAAAAAAGCTATTCCTTACATGCCAAATATAGAAAGTTGTTATTTGATTCCATTTGGAACTTTCCGGTTGATTGTTTAATTAGACTGAAGTGCTCGATCTCAGGTTGACTGACTGATATATCAGCTCATTGTGTAAAGAGATGCTTCGACGGTGATGTCTGATTAATGATTATTTCACTTGAAGTAAATATTCATCGATTGTGGTGACTAGCAATGTGGAATTCTAGTCAGTAGATGTGGATTTCGTGCTATCTGGGATTCGTCGTTATCTGGACGTATGTCTGCATTCCTCAGTGGGGGTGGGGACGACGACGACACCATCACTCATTATGGAATGTAGAAGGTATATCCAGCTGGTTGACTAATCTCAAATAGGACGAAATACGCATCCTGGTGGATTCCATCAATGCTAGTCACCATCCACCAATCTACTTCAATTTTAACTGTTGTTTGGTATTATCAAACTTTCTATTGTCAATCGTTGTATACTTAGTTTTATTTAATATATATTAGGGTGATGATCATAACAGTATTCAATCAATTCGGCCGTGAGATATTGATAGCCATTGAAAGGGGAGAGGTTATGAAATGGTTAGTTGTCTTCGACCGCAGATGTTTACGTTCTATCTCCTGTGTTAAGTGCTATATAATATAGTAAGTACTGTGAAGGTTAGACATGGAGCGTTAGGTGGTAAAGAAGTCAGGGAGGATATATCGCCGAGTAATATTTGTTGATATCGGGGATTCGGTTGGTAAAGTTAAGCAATGATCTAACCAAAACTTTGCAACAGTCCGTGAAACCCATCGATATTTAGTTTTGATTGAGCCAGCTACATAGGGAGGTGTGTGGGGACAACCACTACCTGGTTGGTTGTGATCCTCAGGAAGTTAAGGAGACAATAGATGAAGAATCTGTCTTTTCCCCCCTCTCTCTTTTTTTTCTACCTTTGTGTGGTCGATTGAGATGGTTACGACATGTATTCCACATGCCCAGCAGCCATTACGTTGCTGGACAATAGGGAATGTTAGCTGACATAGGATGGATCAGGTTGTTGGGAAAGAGCTAGTAATGGTTAAACCAAAATATTGCTTCATCAGTCAATGAAATCTAAAACAGTTAGTTTAAGCCGGCCGGCCAGCTAGCTACGGAGGGGAGGTGTAGCTTGCCAAACTGGTTGAGACCCTCTGGTTGGTAAGAACTAATGACAGCTGGAGACAATCGGTGATATAGCTCAAAGTTATCGTTGTCGGCGATGTCGCAGATGCATTCACTCTTTGTGACTTATAATATCCAATAAAACTCTATTGTACTTCCACATTACTACTATTCTTTTGCCCTCACTTACACTTGTGTTTAATATCTATCTCTGTTTTGAATCTGTCTTTAATCTGTTCTCTTGATTTGTGTGTGGGATGGAGAGTAGTGGCAAGTCGAACTACTGTTGCACTGCTATGCAAAGTTCAACAATTATTAAAACACCACATCTTTGTGTGATGTGCTACATGGAATGTAACAAGTTCAAGCACTACTGTACCAACTTCTGTGCAAAGTCCTATGTTGTAACTCAGTCAGTCAGTCAATCAACTTACTGCTTGCTTGTTTGTGTTTTGTGTGTGTGTGCATAGACGATACGACTTTCTTTTTGTTTTACTTCTATTGCCTATTTACTATTTTTAACTAAAATGACACTGTCATCATTTCACATCTCTCTTGATCGATCCGTCTTGCACACATGGATGGATGGTATGTGTGCTCAGCGCTATAATTAAATTTATAAACATATATATATATCTTCTTCTTAAATGATAAACCTTTAACGTTATTTATTTATGTCTAACTCCTACGACACGTATTGCATCTCTTTCTGTTTTTCTCTGAGAGAAATCATCTCAAGGTATTCTGATTGATTAGAGCGGAATCACTAATTAAGTAACAATGATGCAGCAATCTGAGATGAGTTAATATTACACCATCTGTGTTGAATTTATTATTATTAATATTTTTTTTACCCCATGGAATTCTGTTTTTATACATAGATATATACGAAGTTGTTTGTGGCTAGTTAGTTAGTTACCTCTTAAGCATGTTAAGATTTAGAAACACGATCCATTCATCATCACATATTGATTTGGTTATAATTAAGTGTCATGATTTTGTGTGTGTGTGTGTGTGATAGCATGCAGCAGCATGCTGCCCAAATCGCGATCAGTGTCTGTAAGTATGGTATGGTGCTTTGGATCGTTTAACTGCAAAGTACTATTACAAGATTTGCAGGAGCCTCTGTTCCTGTACTCACTCATGCAGGTGGTGAACCGCTTGAAGTTGTTGATAAAAGTTTGTTTATCCTGGTTAGTTGTGTGAGTGCTGGTGGTGGGGTGGGGTGACGGATGAGATTTCCAACCGTATCATACATCAACTTGAGAGTCACCTCTGGCGCCGTAGCGACGTTAAACTGGATGTCAAAGGTCGGGTATACAATGCTTCGGTTTGGGCTGTTTTGCTCTACGTTTTGTGAAACTTAGCCTCTTCGAGTTGAGGATGTGCGGCGGCTTGGCGTTTTCGATCATCGATATCTCCGCAGGATTGCTTGCGTTTCGATGGCATCATTACATGAGTAACTCTGAGGTTCGGTGGCGTGTGTTTGAACACAGTGGAGATCACCATTCGTTGGATGTCGTCATCTAGAAACACCGGCTTCAGTGGCTTAGACGTGTGCTGCGAATATCATCCCAGAGGCTTCCGTACAGGTCTCTGTTCGTTAGCCAGCCCTGGGACGGATTGGAAAAGGCGAAGAGACGGTCAGCCCATGACGCGGGGCGTCATGGGATGAGGGATATTTGTGCTCGGTTAGCATCGGTTGGTGCGTCACGACTCCCTGGTTGAAGTCTGAGAGGTCACTCGAATCGATGGCTTGAAACGTTATTGGATATGGCCAAGAATCGTAACCAATGGCGGCGAATATGCTGCAGTTTCCTTCGTTTTTCAGTTTCCGATGATAGTTAACGAATGCTGTTTGAACTTGTTAAGTGTGACTGTTTTCCTTCCGGCTGAAGTTCTTTAATCGTTCTCCACCTATATTTTTACTTTTAATCTATGTTGTTTTATTATTATTGTGTGGCTCATCTTCTTGGTGCCATATTGTACCAAGTTTTCTGTGTTTAAATAATATTAAAAATAATGATTTTGTGTATCTTTTTGTGTGTGTGTATATATGTGTGCGTGCGTGTGTTTGCAGTCAGTCAGTCGGTCATTGCAAGCTGTGAACTCCGATATGTTCCAAATGTCTTTTTGCCTTTTCGCAACTATATAGGTGATGCTCTCTATACTGACGATTGATAAGAGTATTTGGGATCCTCACCCCACCTCTTCACATTGTCATCGCTGGAAATCCAACTTATCTTCTTCTATATGGGTTCCTCTCGAGGGTTTGGCGAGCAGTGCCACTCGACGATGTCCTTAGTAGTGGTAGTATTAGTATGTGTCTAATCCTTCTTCGTTTCATTCGGAATATTTGTTGAGCGATAGGTTATTGGTTGCTTTATTACCAGTGTTTGTCTTGTTGCTTATTCTTTCCCTATCGACTGTCTGATCTTTAAATTGTTAATATTAGATTGGGCTGGAAGGAATTCCTACCTGACTAGGTTTCCTGCTTGTTGCCAGTCATCAGTCAGTCAACAAGGCGTATCTACAGCCTTGAAGGAAGTCATGTCCCTCCTTCTGTAGTCAGAGACGACGTTAACACTGAACCATTTGGGCTCCTGTATTAATGACTGTAATGGATACTTTGATTGGACAGTAGTTAGTAGTAGCCAGTGTGTAATGTGTGTGTCTAGTCGTTTGTTTGCTGCAGACTGAATTCTATCAGTCAAGTTTGCTATGTGACCAGCATTCTGGTTGTCTGTCCATCACAATGCGCTTTGGATTGTTGATAATAGATGGTTAGATGCAATTGGCATGTGCAGCCCTTGGGCCTAGCTTTCGTGCTAGTTAGTACTCGTCGTCTCCGACGATGTAATATCAACAATTCAAAGTGTACCGAGATGGCGAGCCATAGCGCAAACGTGACTGGTAGAATTCAGTGTGCACCAAACAGGGGACTAGACACACATTACACCAATTACTACTAACCAGGATCCAATCAAAACATCTGATGTTCAGTATGCAGTGATGTGGACAGCTGTTGATGAAACTCTGAAACAGGCTGTTGGAAATGCTTTTTTGTGTGTCTTATGTCAAGTCTCTGAACCATATATATATAGAATCTAACTGGAATAGCTGATAAACATCAATTTTTCTTCTTATATCTGGAGATTTTTCTAATCATATCCCCCTCCCCACTGCCTCCTGTTTTATCCTCTTATTTACAGGTTGTTCGTGCTTTTGATAAATTAACCGGAGAAGAGGTTGCAATTAAAGTGATTAAAAACAAAAGATCATTTGTACAACAAGCTGAAATTGAAATTAAATTACTCCGTGAAATGTCTGTCTTTCAGGCTAATGAACAATTGGCTGCTGAAGTTGGCGCTAATTATATTGGTAAGCGCTATTTGTGATAATGTTTTTTCTTGTCAATTCATGAAAACCACTACTGCTACTACTACTACTTCTATCTCAATGCTGAGCCTTACTTGGAAAGTTTTAATGACCTCCTAAGCAAGGCAGATGGTGATGATGATGCCGCTACTGCTTTGGCTGTCTTACATCATAATATTGTTTCCTCCTTAGGACAATAGAGGGTCAGATATATGTCTGATGTACCTACCTTGACTACACATCCGCTTTTGACTCTATACCCAGATAGATGCCTCTTGTTAAATAAACTCTTTCTTTGACAGAAATCCAGTTCGGAACTGTTAACTAGTTGGCATTCTTATTTCTTCTTCTGCCGTGCTTGCTTACTGAAACTGATCTCCCTCAAGGTGGGGGGGGGGGGAGGGGAGGGAAGGAATCAACTTTGTTAAATATGCTGATGACCTCACTGTCCCAAACTTAATAGCATTTTGTCGGACATTAATCAGTGGTCTAAGCTAACCGGTCTTACGTTAAATCCCTCCAAATGTCAGACAGTTAACTTCACCTTTAGGCAGTCAGTCAGGCATAGACGTGATCTACGAAAACTCATCGGTTCCCATGATGCTTGTAGCATACGCTGGCAGGGCACTGAAATAGGAACTGAGTCAAGTGTAAACTACTTTGGAATAGTTTTATCTTTTGACCTTTCTTCATCATCACATATATTGTAGATTTGTAAGAAAATATGCGTCATCTAACCTATTCCCACATTAAGAAGTTAAGACAATCAGGAATCACTCAATCTCTACTTTTACAATTTGTTAACTCTTTCATCTTATCTGTTGTACTTTATTGCTCCCCTGCTTTTAGTCTTTCCTGAGCTATCGGAAACGGACTATGTCATATTGAGGTGAAGGGTATTAATGGTTGTCAGTAGTGTGAAATTTAAGTCAGTTCTTTGCTATTGTAGTCGACAGACATCTGAACTCATGTGAGAGATGATCTAAATCCAGATTGTCTGACTCTTAATACTTGAGTCTCTATTCAGAACTCTCCCCTTGTATTGCATTTCATCGTGTAGGACTGGAAGTCAATATAAAAGATTATATGCTCGTGTAAGCAAGTACAAAAGCTCAACGATACCGTATTTGGCCAGCCGGCATTCTATGTGATATAGTGTTAGGTGTGAAACCCAACGACTCTTGTTATGTTATTAGCAAAATAAACGGCTCTTTTATTGTTTCCTATTTGTAATCTACATTATCGCAAAAGGTTTGGAGAGAAGGGAAGGTACCTACCGATTTTAAGAAAGGCCGGCTGTCTTGTCAAGCTGCCAAAGAAAGCCGACTTAGGCCTGTGAAAATATTGTTGTGGAATAATGCTCTTGTCCACGCCAGGTAAAATATTAAGTCGCATCATCCTGGAGAGAATAGAGGATCCACTGGATGCAGAACTCACAGACATATATTCTTTTATCTGTTATTGTTTAATCTCTAGTGATTCTTTCGTTCGTTGGCGAGAGGATTCAGCATCCAGCCTAAAAAGTGGTTGGTATCCTATGTGATCAATCCGACCACAATACTAAACATAGTTCTTTAGCCCTTTGGTACAAGAGACATATATATGCATATATATATTCTATGTAATTGTGTTTCAACAAGTGATGTGCAGTGTAGAATTGCTCATATGGAGATGTGTGACTCATTGGGTTTAACGCTCAACTCAAGACTATTGGATCATGGATTCGGACATCGTTACGCCTACACCACGAGATAGTATTACAAGTCTCCGCACACAATATGCGTATATATTTGTGGGGGGGGGTGAGTTGAATTTGTGTGTCAATGGAGCTGGAGTAGCAATGGAAGCACAAGTTGATATCAGTGATACACAACTACTTATTTCAATCAATTAGTAGTATATAATTGTATGTGAATTTGCTCGCTTCCGTGATTACCATTTTTGGTATCATGCAGAACTCATATAGAGTGACCTGAATAATTTCGGTTTCCAGAGACAGACACCCTGTGGCGGAATTTCACCTCCTTGAGCTGTGTGAATTACGAATTACTGCGAATTTGATTTATGGTGTTTGTCCAGTTTGCCCGAATAGCTAACCAGAAATTGGGTGGTTTGGATGATTCGGTTCTCTGTGCTGAGTCAATTGGAATACACCGTTGATGAGTTTGACCCTCATCCTCTCCGAGTCCGGTGTTCAACCATACTTCGATTTGATTGGCTGGTGTAAGTGGTGTCCAGCTACTCATCTCAATCAGTCAGTGGTGTGTAGTTTTAATGGGAGAGACAGAGAGAGAGAGAGAGTATTACCTCAATCAGCAGGATTTATTATTATTGTTATTTTTTTATTCCTTTGCTTCCCCAGTGGGATGTAGGACTTCAGGTTAGAGCTTCGAAGTTTCGGTAGTAGTAGCGGTGTGTAATTTTACGGGATGGGGTTGTCAGTCTCATACCCAGCTTTCCCTCTTTACCAGTCTTATTACTGGCTCAGCGAGGTAAAGAAGTGCGTTGGTGACTGGGGATGGAACCCCAAACCACACGGGGCGTGGTTGGCGAGCATTCTACCTCTGTGCCACAGACGCACTAATCAGCAGGATGACATTACAGAATTACAATAGTAATAATAATGGTAATAACGTGATATTTAGATTGTGCAGTAATTAAATTCATCAGATTATTGTAGAAATACAAATTTCTATCCGATATGATACTCGAATAGACTTAGTTTCTTTTGAAAATCCAGCAGTCCTATGACAAATTAAGCTATAAGTCAGAAAGCTGTTACTAACCACTGACAACATACACCACGGTGTACTAAACAGTTCCATCTTCATAGTTGGGTTACTCTTCAGAAAGACGTACCCTTAACCCCATTTCGAAACTAAACGCGAAACCATAAGGTGGGAAGGCGATGGCACTATTTCATGGGAATTTGCTCAAAGCATTCGATTCCGTCCCATATGCTAAGTGGGTACGTGCACTGGTATATTATGGGCACCGAAGTATACACCACACAAAATCTCAAAGTTTGCGCGAGATCTGGGTAATTGGGCGAAAACCCAGAACGAAGCAGGTAGTTGTGTTAAGAGGTCACTCGGGAGGCTTTTAACTTGAAGTCTGGTGGAGAAGGTAGTGCAGTGTTGTCAGGAGCTACATCTCCATGGTTTCCAGTGTCCAGAACAGTTTCACACGCCATTCAATCATTTTGGAATCAGGCTTTTCCAGTTCCCCTAGGCAAAGCTACATGTCCTCCAGACACCGGTTGTGTTTAACCCTGAGTTTCGTACTTGTTATGGCTCGTCAGTGAATCTGAAGGAACTCATGTCCCTTCTGAGATTTGAGTCGGCATCCCCTGGGGTACTGCAATCAGAGATATATTATCACTAAGCTACTCAGACTCGCGATTTACCTGTAATAGATACTTTGATTAGTCATTGGGTGGGTAAATGGATAGGTAGTAACCAACATTATACGTTCAGCCCCTAGTTTGTGTGATGCAACATTTGGTGGTGACGCAGGATGTTGGAATCTCAGAGGGGATAGGAATTTCTTCAGTAATTCGCAGAAAGATACATATACCTTGCTGACTACCTGACTGGCTGACCGATGAGAGAGTGTCAACAAACACGACAAAACCTCGATCAGAAACAGGGAATCTTCTTCTTGTCTATTGCCTTCAACTATCAGCTTACATTATTGCATACCCTCAGAAAATAGTCTTTCCTGTCACACTTTGCATTTATACTTTACACTTTACGTTTATATATATATGATCAATAAATCGATCATAAACAACTAGCTGTATCCAGTGATGATATTCATTATAGTGATGATGATGATGATGATGATGACGAACGAGGTGGTGGAAGATTATCAACGCGCAGATCGATTAATCACTTTATTTACTTGTTCCTCTGTTTCATATTATAATATATGTGAAATTGTGAAAAAACGACAACAACAACAACAATAACAACACACTACTATCACATTGACGACTGATTGTGTACACACTGTCATTTTGTCGTCAGTGTGTATAGCATTATAACATAGTGTGCACAGGCAATAATAATAGATTGTACACGTGTACACATAGATATGTCGATTTGTGTGCTTATAATAATGTATGCATGCATGTATGCTTGCATGCCTAGGTATCTGTTAGCTAGTGTGTGTGTGTGTGTGTTGTAGAGGTGTATACACATCTTTGGTGCATTTCACTTTTACACTCACCTACACATATTGAACATAATCTCATAAAGTGTGCAATAATCACAGCTACAATCGGAGGAGCAGCAGCAGCAGCAGTTTTACGTGACGCATAAATGTGTATCTATTAGTAATAAATTGATGTTCTCTATCTGTCTGTCTGTCTGTCTGTCTATCCGTCTTTCTCTCTATGTGTGAAAGTTAATCCAGTAAAATGTGACTGTATTGTAGTGTGTAAACAAAGTGTGTGTGTGTGTATGTGAATGTGTGTCTACGTATACAGAGTGAGAAAGAAAGAGAGAGCTAGTTGTAAATTAGTGTAAATTATTATTACGTTTGACATTAACTAATGCATATATCAGCTGTTTAATTTGTGGCTTTCATTTCTGAATTATTTCATTCCTGAATGATTAGTATTCCGGTGTGATTTTATTCTCTATGTTCAAATGTGCGAAAGCGCGTATTGTTTAGATATTAAATGTGTTGGAGGCAATCGACAGGAAAGCCTGTCGAGCCGTGTAACTTTTCAGTAGTTCACACTCTGCCCTCCTCTATGAGATTGGCTGTGTGAAATAGCCATTGAAATTGAAAGACATGACAAGTCTGGCTAGCTATCTTTGATCATAGTCGGCTGCGTTCTATCTCCTGGTGTTAGGTGGTATAATAAAGTGAGCGATATTGAGATGGTTAGGCGTCCAGTGTAGGGTAAGTCAAGGAGCGGAAATCAGTCGATAATGTTGTGAAGTCACATCAACTGAGATGACTAGGTCATGTATTACGCTTGCCCAACTATATCCCTTACTCAACAGGGGATGTTAGGTGATAGACGACTAGGTTGGAATAGAGCTGATGATGGTCAAGCGGAAATATAGCATCATTCCTTGAAATCTTTGATACTTAGTCTGAGCCAGCCAGCTACGTAGGGAGGTGTAGACATGTAGACGGTGTGGCTGGCTGTTTGGGGTCCTCGGGATGGTAAGGACCAATGACGTGTGGATACGCTTGGTGATATGGCTCTCAATCGTTGTGAAATGGATGGAATTTCAGCAGTTCAAGTTATCATGCTCTACACAGGACACAAAGGTAGATAGATGAGAGTAAGCGGAGAGATTCAAAAGAACTACAATGGGTAGAACTTGGTGGGAGAAATCAACACTAGTAACATGTAGAAACATGAGGGTATAATAGGTATGGAAGGTCGCGGAGAGTAGTGAATGTATCTCGGGCGTTGAGAACAACCATTTCAAGCCATATTAACAATAATGGCCCGGCTGTTGGTTCTCAATCCGAACTATACAGTCTACAACTCCTTACGTAGCTCAAACCGACATTGCAGATATTCGCTTGCACATACAACTACACGTCCTCCTCTCAATTCTATACTTTATGTTTTAAAGTTTTTTTCACCACACATAATAAATATTTTTCTCCATTTTTCGTTAAAAATGTCTTGTTTTCTGTTTGAGGGGTGGTGAGTAACAGTAGATTCCATCTGTATGCGCATTTCGTCCCATTTTTGACTCGTCATTTGGAGGTACTTGAAACCTCCAGTAGAGGTGATGATGATGTTCTCACAGAGACTCGAACCTAGTAACCATCATTTGAAACACTAATGCCCAAATGGGGGGAAGGTTGGACTTTAAGCACCACTAACTACTAATCAGCGAATGACCTTGAACGTACCAATCACATGAAGGAAGCATTTTTGTGTATGGAATACATATATTCATGAAAAAAAATGCTTAAAACCTGTATAAAAGTGTTACAGACGATACCTTTCTCTTACATGTGATGAAAACGTCTGCTAGTTTACCATAGGAGTATCAACTTTGTTAGAGCAGGTATTTAACTCGAATCAAGCGGGATAGAAATTTCAACTCACGTGGATGAAAAGTCATTGGATCATTCAAGGTCACTGGTGCTTAAAGTTTAACTTGTCCTCCAAGTGGTCCAGTGGATAGCGCATATGGTGTTTCCTGGCGGATTCCACTGTAGTGAGAGCTGCTTGCTAGCCCAGATTGTAGACAATAATTTACGTCAACGTTAACGCCCCGAATCAGGATCATGAGAAAAAACAAACCTTAAGGAACTCACCAACCAATCACAGCAGATTTCACCTGTGCAAATACGATTCGCAGATATGTGGCCTGACTTTCTAAGAGACGGCCACAAAGAGATAACAGAATAACCTTCAGCAGGAAAACAACCAATCAAAAGACGTTGCTTCTCCACTGACAATAATGTACATAAAAATCTATAAATATCTGTTGATTTGCTCTGTTACCTGACCCTTGTCTTCTGTCGTTACACCACTGTTAGTCACCATCCATTAAAATCACATCACTCTCGTGGTGGTTAGTCCTCAAACGTCATCAAAAGCATCTGTACTATAAAAGCTGAATATTTTTTAATTCAGTCAGTTGATTTAAACATTCTCATTCTCATTTAATTACTCATTTATTTATTTAATTATTTATTGATTTTGTTTACTTCTCTTTTTTCTCATTCACAGTTAATTTAAAAGGACATTTCAGTTATCATGGTCATTTATGCTTAGTATTTGAATTACTTTCATATAATCTATACGATTTACTGGGCAATACAAATTATCGTGGTGTTTCATTAAATTTAACACGTAAATTTGCTCAACAATTATGCGCTGCTCTGGTATTTCTCTCTCGACCAGATGTACATGTAATACATTGTGATTTAAAACCAGAGAATATATTACTTGTTAATCCTAAGCGTTCAGCTATCAAAGTTATTGATTTTGGTAGTTCTTGTCATGTACATGAAAAAGTATATCAGTATATTCAATCAAGATTTTATCGGTAAGTCCCTTTTTATATTTGTGTATTTTTCTACTTCTATTGTCCTTTCTCTGTTTCTTGTTCTTCAACGCGTTATCGCATTTCTGTATACACTATGCGGTCGGTTCGTCTTTACATTTATATGTCTATAATATGTGTAAGAAGCAAAGGAAACAACAGACGAAGAAAAAATATTGTTAGGCGCATATCTGGTGATTCAGTCGTCTTATTGTTCTGAGGGAAAAAAGAAACTACTGGGCTTGGAACATATTCGTTCATGTTTCGATCAGCTACACTTCCTTCCTTGTGTATGTGTGTGTGTGCGTACCATATGATGATGATAATGATGAATATCGGGTGATAATGAAGGTGAATTTCTCGTCACAGGTTTGGGAAAACCAGTAAGTACTGGACAGATAGCTGTTTCGTCCCATTTCGGGACTCTTCAGCACAGTACCCATCCACCGCCAGGGTTCAAACCTAGAATCTTCCGGCTACAAAGCGAGCTCGCAGACCATTCACAGCTATTAGGACTCAATCTAATGGTGCATGAATATATATATATATATATACATATATATATATATATAGAACCTACGATATTCAGGTTAAGAAGCAAAACTGTTGGTCATTCATACATTGGGCAAATGAATTCTTTTGTTAATTCACGATGTGTATAGCTGTACCTCCAGTCAATGTCATTGATGAGTGTGTCTCTTCTCAACTGAAATTTTAAACCCTACTCGGTCACCATTTCTCCCATTAGTCATCCCGTAGTGAGCAGCTCATCCACACAGTTGTCGAATAATTGGAACAGAGTGACGAGTGAATCAGCCTATATTTTCTAAATCTAGCGGATATTTCTGAGTTCCATATTTGAGGAGGCAATAGAAGAATTTGAAATGACAGAGGATTAACAGCAAGAAACCAAGGGAACGAGAGACCAGCAACCAGTTGCTAAACAAATATGTCGACGAGTAACTGTCTTTTTACTTGACTTGGTGGGCCCCAGTGGTTACGATTTCTCACTTGAACTTTAGGTAACTTCTTGTATAGGACCAGCCAGTGGTTAGTGAGCATCAGATTAATTATGAAGTGTTGGTTTGCATAGATTTGATTGTTTACAGGATTGAGGACAGATTCTCCCCGATGATATTGGCTGGCGGTTGCGCTGTCTATATCGCGGATTGGTTGAAATTGAGATTCACAGACCATTGGATTGGGTTCCAGTAGCTGCGAATGGTCTACGAGCTCACTTTGTAACCAGAAGGTTTTGGGTTCGAACCCCGGTGGTTGGTGGGTACTGTGCCGAAGAGTCCTGAAGTGGAGTGTAACAGCTATCTACCCAGTATTCCCTGGTTTTTTCTAAAGGCTCTCTAACTGATATAAACTAGTAATCAGGCCTGTAACCAATCCCATTCCCGCTAATCAACACATGGAATTCTTCGCTTCTACAACTTCATAGTTGAGGTCATCAGTAGATTATTTCACATGTGGGTTGTGTCATACACAAGAACTAAAGGTAGATAGTATTCTCTCCTTCTGTCTCTGTGTCACACACACACACACAAACACGTCAGTATGATGAGAGACCAGCTATATTATTGTTGTTATTTATATAGGTATTTGACACCATTGGAGAAATGTAACTTACTGAAATAAGAAAAGGAATATCTGCGTAGATTGGTGTTTTTGCAGTGTTACGCAGACTTTGTTGCATTGGTGGTTTGGTGGTGGGATGCTCGCCAGCCAAGTAGCACATACTCCGGGTGTTCGATTCTGTGTCGACATACTTCTAAACGTCGCTTAACTAGCGGTGGTTGTTAGCCCGGTGAATAGGGAAGCAGTTTGCAAGTTAGACTAGTTTTCCCGTCCTATAAAAACCTCACCGCCGTTGCCACTGAAACTTCAAAGTTCAAGCTTCAAGACATATTCCACTTGGAACGTAAAGAGATGGAGGAGTATATCTATCTATCGTTTCAACTACAGGCGGAACTGACGAGGACATCAAAGCAAGAATCGGAAAAGCAAGATAAGCTTTCACTACTCTCAAGTTTGTGTGGAGGCCAACAACACTCAGCATCAAAAATAAGATCCGGATTTTCAACTCCAATGTCAAGTCAGTCAGTGCTACTATATGGTTCAGAGACTTGCACTGCGCGTCATAAAGAGTATCTCAAACAAACTACAGACCTTCATTAACAGCCAATTGTCTTCGCTCAATACTACTCAAGATCAGATGGCCGGTCAGAAAAGATCAGCACCAGGGAGGGATCTTTGGGAACGAACCAACCCAGCAGGAACGGATTGTGAAACAAATATGCAGGAAGAAATGGAGATGGATTGGATTGGCCATACTCTGAGGAAACCATCAAGTGACATCACTAGAAAAGCCATTGCTCGAGTGGAACCTGGCCGAAAGGGAAGCGGTTGGTTGGTCGTCAGTGTGAGGGTGACTTGGAGGAGGTCATGTGGAGATGAGATGAAAACGTGTGGGCAGACTTGTAGCCAGGTGAAGACTCTAGCAGAGGACTGAACATAATGGAGACGCATGGCTGAAGCCCTATGTTCCTCTAGGAATTAAAGGATACAGTAACAAATAATAATAATAATCTATAGATATACACACTTCCGTCCCATGTACTTCAACCTGGCCGACTGGGCATTATCATTTACATTCAAGCAATAAATACATTTCATAACCTCTTTGTACATGGGGAATATATACTGAATAACTGAAGTCTGCAGATAACTCCAAACCCAAGGATAAGTAATGAAATAATTAAATATTAAAAAGTATGCAAGGAGAAAGTTAATCGATGAGGTTGTATTTTAAATGAGTTATTATTATTATCATTATTAATTCATGTTTGTTGTATTCAATGACTTTTCATCGTATTCCTCCTCTTTCCCCCTTCCCCCTCCTTTCCGCCCATAAATACAGGTCTCCAGAAGTGTTATTCAATTTAGACTATGGTCTTGGCATTGATATGTGGTCACTTGGTTGTATTCTTGTTGAAATGCACACAGGTGAACCGTTGTTTTGTGGAGCAAATGAGGTTAGTACTTGCCAGTTTTACTATTATTATTGTTAATAATATCACTATTTGTGTTTGTTTCTCATATCCACAGTCATTTTCAATTTGTAATAAAACATTGGCTAGGACACACATGCGGTCGGTCGGTCGGTTTTCGACATAGAACTTTGCACATATGTGCGGCAGTTCAAGTCGCCACAATCTATGTAGCACGCAAAGCAAGAGAAGAAAGTAGAAGAAATGCATAATATAGACAGTAAACAGAGGTGTGAGACAAAGGAATAGTAATAACGGAGAACAAAAGTTTAATTGGAAATCATAAGTCACAAGGAGTGGATGCATCTGCACAAGCCACTGAGAACGATCACTTTGAGCCATGTCACCAATTGTTTCCAACCATTGGTTTTTACCATCCCGAGGGCCCCAACCAGGAAGTCTACACCTTCCTACGTAGCTGGCTTAGATTAACTGTTGTGGATTTCATTGATTGGTGCCATGTTTTGGTTTGACCGCCGCTAGCTCTTTTCCAGCCTGACCCTATATCAGCTAACATTGCCCATTGTCGAGGAAGGCGATGACTAGGCATACGTAGCACATGTCCTAACCATCTCAGTCGAAGTAATTTCACAGTCTCGTCGATTGATTTCCCCTCCTTACATAATACTCGACGCCTAAGCTCAATATTGCTCACCTTATTATACCACTTCACGCGGGAGATAGAACGCAGACACCTATGATCGAACACAGCTAATCTTTTCATGTCTTCTGCTGTCAATGGCCAGGTCTCACAGCCATAAAGGAGGACGGAGCGGACTGATGAGCAGTACACACGCCCTTTGGTCGAAAGTCGGATATCACGTCTACGCCAGAGACGGCGTAAACTGGCATATGCGAAACTAGCCCTCTGTATTCGTGCTGAGATTTCGTCTGAGATCAACCCGTTGAGGCTGATGGTACTTCCCAAGTAAGTGAAGCGGTCAACGTGTTCTACCACTTCACTTCCTGTTTCTAATCTAGGGGTCGATGAAGTCCAATCCTGCAGCATCATCTTACATTTTATAGGGGCGAATCGCATGCCAAACATGCGAAGATTGTTGCTCAAGGTGTTCAGTAGACTCTGCATTTTGTCAGAGTCCTCGCCTAGAAGGACTATATCGTCCGCATATTCTAAGTCAACGAGATTCTTCCCTGGTAGCAAGTCAATCCCTGAGTCGCTGAAGTGAGTTAGGGTTAAGTCCATTAGTACATCTATGATGAAATTGAATAGGAATGGGGATAATGGGCATCCTTGACGGACGCCACTAGTCGTCACCACTTCAGATGACAACTCGCCATAAGCCCTCACCTGGCTGCATGAGTACGAGTAGAGTGCCTTAATCAGTGCAATGTATTTTCTTGGCATTCCCTTTACAGCCAAGCATCGCCAGAGAACCTCCCGGTCGACAGAATCGAATGCCGCCTTTAGGTCAAGAAATATAATGATTGTCGGGCGCCGGTAGGAATGCCTATGTTCTAGAATCTGTCGAAGGGTGAAGATGTGATCAATATACCCTCTACCTGGCCTAAAACCTGCCTGGTTTTCTCGTGTTTGTGTCTCCCGAGCACCACTTAATCTACGCAGTATTATTGAGCCTAGGATTTTAGATACTATATTAGTCAAGCTAATCCCTCTGTGATTATCACAAGACGACTTGTCCCCCTTCTTGTATATCGGGATGATCAGTGACTTACACCAACCCGATGGGACTTCCTCTGATTCCCAGACGCTGCCTAGAACCTCCGTTAACGCAGACAGTAAACTGTCTCCTCCATACTTAAATACCTCTGGAGTCAATAAATCAGGTCCCGCTGCTTTGCCTAGTGGGACACACGTGTTGTGCATGCTTAGCCACAATTGCCTTCTTCAACGGACGGCAATACTAGCTGGCATAAGACTAGGCTGAAAAAGAGTAGCGGGGTGATCAAACGAAAATCTGTTATCAGCCCATAAAGTCTTTGACACAGATAATATGAGCCAGTCACTTAGATGGGTGTAGACTGGCTATTGTCCTCCAGCTTCTAATAACCAATCAATAACTAGAGACTCACTCTTTGTGATGTTTCAAGTCCATCGATTCCTCCTTAAAAATCAGTTCGTGATTCTTTCGCAGTGATACAAAATTTATTCATTTTTGATGGAGTGTTTAGTAGTTAGTTGCCTGATCTGTGTCATTCACACTGGTTATTTGTCATGTCTCATGTTGTTTTTCATCCTGTCAGTTCAGTTCCTCTTCGTGTATAGTGTGTGTGCGTGTTAGTTACATCGATGTGTTATTACTTTAAAGTGATTCACCTGTTTTGCGATTTCACATTTTTATTCATTTTACACCCGCAAACTCTCTTGATCAACTGGATGATAATAGTGTCTATGTGAGTTGTATTCACAAACACACACTCTTCATCATATCACCTTCTGTCATAATCTTTTATGACATTTCCAATCCATCAGAATAACCAATTAACAGCAACAACAACAACAACAACCAGCACCAATCACCACCGACGGGAGGGATTTAACAGAGGTCACTCACTTCCTTCATTTATCCAGCCAGGAAGCACGGTTTCAACTACAGGCCGGTGGAACGGATGAAAATGTCAAAACCAGCCAGCCAGCTAGTCAGGATCGGAAAAGCGAGATACGCCTTCATCAACCTGAAGCAAGTTTGGAAATCTTCTGCACTCCGCCTCAGCATAAACATCAAGATTCAGATTCTACTCAACACAAATGTCGAGTCATTCAGTCAGTCAGTTCTTCTATACGGGTTAGAAACTTGCACTGTGTGTCACGAAAAGCATTCCCAACAGGCCATTGCAGACTTTTATCAACAGTTGCTACCTTCGCTGGCTCCATACTGAAGATCAAATGGCCGGCCAGAAAAAGCTAGCAACGAGAAACTCTGGCTGGGAACAGACCAATCAAGAGCCGATTGCTCAACAAGCGGGTATGTGGGAGAAAATGGAGTCCAATGGAATTACTTGCTAGGCCATCACTCAAATGGAATCCGAATGGGAAGCGACAAGTGGGTCGTCAGTGCGAGTTTGACATGGAGGAGATCGTGTGGGTATGAGGAGATGAGAGATTTTGGGCAATTGTGGAGCTAACCAGCTGAAGAGGGCGGCAGATGTGTTGTTGAAGCCTTATATTCCACTCGGAACGCAAGGGAATGATAATAATAATAATAAAATAGGTTAGATTGCTGGTCAGTTGGCGATAGTATGCTGAACTCTGTTGCTTCTTCTGAATAACTGCTGCTTTATTCACTGACCGTACCGTATTGTGTATACTTTGTATGCCTCCATAGTTCATCATTATTACTAAATTATCATTTTGAAGAGAACAATTTTCTCATTAGTAATTCGCACTATAGTATTACCGCTAAATGATCAAATCAAGTTAGACTGAAGGTCGTCAGCTACTTATCTTCGAGAAATCATTGACCATTGTTAGCTGTACTTATGTAACAACAGAAAGCAAGAGTCAGGCAACAGATCATTTATTAAGGAAATCAACGCATATTTATATATTTTCATGTACATTACTATAAATATTTAAGCAAACAAACACAGTCTTCCGAATGGTTGTTTCTCACGTAAAGTTAATCTTTCATCTATTTGTGACTGTTTCTTGAATGTCAAATCCTCTATATGTTAACTGCATCCGCCTACGCAAAGTCTGCTGTGGTCGGTTTTGAATCAATCTTTGTTCACATTTTCTCACGACAAATCTTGGGAACGTAAATATTGACGTAAATTACTGTCTACCAATTTGGCTAGTAGACAGCTCTCACCACACTTATACGACACACTGTGCTTATTTCCTAAATGGGACTACCTTCATACTCTGCCTTTTTCCCTTTCCAGTCCTTCGCGTTTGGAGTGTGGAGCATAGGGCCTAAAGTTCGAACAACTTTGAAGTTGCAGTAGTAGTGGTGATTTTTTTTTCACTGGGTTGGGGCTTGCTAACCTCACACCCAACCTTCCTTGTTTCCCTGAATTTTGGTTAGACTGAGATTTATGAGTGCATTGGGGTTGGGAATCAGTCGAACCCCGGACCATACGCGTGCATACCGAGCATTCTTCCACAGTATCATCAGCGCAGAGAAGATAGAACTGGAAAATGTAACCTGTGACACTTGGTTTTTGACAGGTCAGTAATAATGACGGAAGTTAGATCTCTAGTGTGAGATAGTCTAACGGAGCACAGTTGTGAAAAGAGCTGTCGTGGAACTAAAGTATTGCTATATAATCAATACACCAGATAGGTTGTTATTAGTTGAGAGAAGGTTAAGGCGATTAGGTGTTTCATCAATTTAAATGGGGGAACCGTCATTCAATCTCTTCGAAAGGGTATGTCTGTAGTGCATGCTATGTTCACACAATCTTCACATAGAAATTTTCACGCATATTTGTGAAGTTGAGTTTTATAACAACGAATAATTATCTGACTGCAGCATTGAATGATGGTGACTCGGGTTGGAATCTCAGCGGGTTGTGTAGATACGCCTTGCTGATTGGTGAGTGCCAACAAGTACGAAGTCTAGGTCAGACAGGGTTTCTTGCCGATAGCCTTCTACCATCTAACGTCTATTAGAAGTACACCACGGTGGCCGAGTCACATTGATGATGGACTTCAGCTGGCAGCACAAGTACCAAGGACTAACCACATGAAATTGGTTACTCTCCAGTGACCGATCTATGTATGTATCTAGCAGCAGTATCACTGAAGTTCACCAAATCCGAAGCAGTTGTCTGTTTGACATTTATATTCAGTCAGTAAGTCAGTGTATTGTGCAGCACCTATTGCGATGGCAGACACGTTTCCCTGTGAGAGATAGTATTCAATAAGCTGCTCATCTGATTATCATTTTCCACTGCTGCACATAGAATAATTGTGCTTCCGGTGGTCGTTTTGTTACTATTACTAATCTTTGTATGGACGGGGTAATATACTACTGATTAATTGAGTAGTAGTAACAGTGCTTGCCATCTAGCCAGATCCAGACAACGGACGGTCGTTTCATTCGTTTCAGGCCTCTGAGCTCATGAGCAGCATACCGGGTTTGACTCAACACTCAGAGTACCGAATTAGTTCAAAATACCCGATCGATCGATCAATCAGTAGTAGTAGTAGTAGTAGTAGTAGTAGTAGTAGTAGTAGTAGTAGTAGTGTAACAACAGAAGACAAAGGCCAAGCGACAGATCGTTTATTAAGGAAATCAACACATATTTATGGCTTTTCATGTACATTATTATAGATTATTGTAAGCAAGCCAACACAGTCTTCTGATTGGTGGTTTCTTGTTGAACGTTAACCTTTCATCTCTTTGTGCCTGTTTCTTGAATATCAGATCATCTATATGCTAACTGGATCCGCCTACGCAAAGTCTGCTGTGACTGGTTGTCGAATCACTCTTTGTTCATATTTTTCTCACGACCAATATTGGGGACGTAAACATTGACGTAAATTACTGTCTACCAATTTGGCTAGCAGTCAGCTCTCACCACAGTAGTAGCGTCATTCATGTATGCTTGTTTCCTTGATTAACATTTATGGTATCAAGTAGATCAAGTACTATGATCTTTGAAAAAAGTTTCAGTTTCCAAATGATGAATTTGATCTTTCAGCGAAGATCTGATGATTCAGCGACTTGATTATGATAATGATGATGATGAAGGTGGAGGATCATTGAAGCGGGTGTATTTCATTGGTTGTGTTTTTGGTTTTATTGTCGATTTTCTTCCATTTATATGAACAGTAATTCAGTACACATTAGTGTATAGATCTGTTTAGTGGTCGCAAGGTGTAGGTGTTCTATCACATCGGTTGTAAACAAACACACACACACACACACAGAAATGAGGATACCTGTGACATTTAACACGCGTAGTAACTGGTTCCTCTGTACAAGTGGTGGTGGGGGGGGGCGGGGCGGTTTTCCTCTCGTGTCCCAAATGGTCTAGTGGCTTACGCTTTGGTGTTTGTGCATAGTTCGAGTCTCACTGCGCGGGGTGGGGAGGGGTTGCGTGCAGGTACATTCATCAGCTGACGAGTAGTGACATTCTGGATTATATATAATATATATTCCATTGTGCTTGCTTAGTTAATTCCAGTCGAGCACCAACTTTTAAACTACAGAATAACTTGTTGTTTTTTTAAAATAATTATTTTTCTTTCTTTTGAGTTGTTTTCACTTTGTGTCTCTCTCCAAATTAGCTTGAACAACTTCTTCAAATTATTGAAGTACTTGGCTTTCCTCCGGTTTATATGATTGAAGCTAGTCCTAAATTATCAACATTTTTCGATTGTATACCTGTGATGAATTCCAATACAAGTGGTACTGTAACATCGTCTTCAAGCGGTGGTGTTCATCTGACCAACACATCCACTTCTTCTACTACTACTCCTACTACTACTAATAGTAACATCCCGATGGCTGTAACTACAGCGGGGGGATCAACGGCGTCAACACCGTGTAGTACACTGATAACTACGATAGCAGGAAATACGTCTAGAGGCGTGGCTAAACCTACAAATACCAGTTGTAGTACAATGTCCAGCGACGCACCAACAACAACGACAACTACTACTACTTCTAATAATAGTAATAATACTATTGGCGGCGTCATCAGTACGAGTGCAGCACAGTCAGGTGATGTTGTAAATAACCCTAGTAGTAATTATACTACTACTACTACTGATAAGTCAAATGCCAGTGTATTATTATCAACATCTGGAACTGTTCTATACAAACCTAAACGTGTATGGACTAAACAAGAATGTACTTATGAGGTGGGTAATAATGTGTTAATGTTGTTGTTGGTGTTTTTGTTGTTGTTGATGCAATTCAGTTTTTATATTTGTGTTCCATGAAGTTTGCTGATGTGATGATGAAATAGACGAACGTTTCAATGATAAATCCTAGTTATTCTGTTCAATGCAGACCTTTTTCATTCCTCCACGTCTTGAGGCTTTAAGGTTTCAGTTAAGGTTGGTGTTATTTTTACCAGGAGGAGTGGCTACCTTTACACCCGACCTACCCTCTGCCTAGTTTACTACGGTGTTGAGCGATGTATTGGGAGTGTTGTGGTCGGGAATCCGACTCGGACTGCGTGCGTGGCTGTCGTCAGTGTAGACGTAAAACATGGGCCATTGGATAGGGTCCCAGTGGCTCGCTAGCCTTGTAACCAGAAGGTCCTGGGTTCGAACCCCTCTGTGGTTGGACGCGTACTGATGAAGAGTCCCAAACTAGGGTGGAACTGCTGGCTGTCCAGTACTCCCTGCAAGTTTTCCCATGGTTCTCTGACTGGTGTCAGCTCATGATGAAACCCTCCAACCAATCAAACAAAATCTCTGCAAAACCAATACTTGAAAACTAAATTTTTTAAAACATGCTTGTTACAATTATTCGTCTTCATTTTCTTATTTTGTAAATTTTCATTCCACAGTGTAAATTCTCTGGTGTGGGAACAAGACCGTTGCGTACTGTGGTTGGCGCAGATATTGGTGGACCTAAAGGTTGTCGACGCGGGGAACAAGGTCATACCCCGGAGGATTATGATAAATTTGTCGATTTAATTCAACGTATGCTTGTCTATGAACCACGATTTCGTATTCGTCCTGAAGAAGCGTTAACACATCGGTTTTTCACTCGTAAAGATGATGGTAATTAATAACCTTGTTGTATTGTGATTGTGTTGTTATTATATGCAATTTTTCAATTTTAAAATGTGTAAATAGCGGTTGGGATTCTTTCAAGTAAAATTATGTTTTAGAGACTTGGCGTGTTATGACAATGCATTTCCAACAGCGCACAGACTTTCCTTAACCAGCTGTCTTCACTCGGTGCTACTGAAGGTCAAATGGTCGGTCAGAAAGGATTGGCGAGGAGGAAGTCTGACAACCGACCAATCAATAATCTGTCGCGTGGGGTGTATGTGAAAGCAAATGGGGGATAAATTGTGGACATAGGCTGAGATGTGTCGTATGTTATCTCTTTGAGTAGAACTCAAATGGGAAACAACTAGTAGGCTGTCTACAGGTGACATAAAGGACATCGTGTGAAGAGAAAGTAAAAGTTTGTGTGTGGATGCGTGCTTGCGTGCGTGTGTGTTATAACATGTAGTCCTCCATACTAAAGACCAGCCTACAGAGTGAAGGTATTATTATTATTATTATTGCATCCTTTAATTCCTACAGGAACATAGGGCTTCAGCCGCCCACGTCTCCATTGCGTTCTGTTCTCTGGTAGAGTCTTCACCTGGCTCCAAGTTTGCCCACACGTTTTCATCTCCTCTTCACATGACCTCCTCCAAGTCACCCTTGCACTGACGACCAACTCGCCGCTTCCCATCCGGCCGAGTTGCACTCGAGCAATGGCTTTTCTAGTGATGTCACTTGATGGTTTCCTAAGAGTATGTCCAATCCATCTCCATTTCCTCCTGCCTATTTGTTTCACAATCGGTTCCTGTGAGTTGGTTCGCTCATTGCCAGAGATCTCTGTTGCTGATCATTTCTGGCCGGCCATCTGATCTTGAGTAGTATTGAGCGAAGACAACTGTTAATGAAGGTCTGTAGTTTGTTTGAGATGCTCTTTCTGACGCGCTGGCCAAGTCTCTGATCCGTACAGTGAATAGCACTGACTTCACATTGGAGTTGAAAATCCGGATCTTATTTTTGATGCTGAGTGTTGTTGACCTACAGAGTGAAGGTAAAATGTTAAAATTATTGAAAATGCTTAATGTGCGAGACTTCACGTATGCATTGTCATGTGAGGTTGTAATAATGAATTGCCAAGTCATTTTTTCACCTTGTTTAGCAGCAGTGCAGCTGATGCATATGATTTAGGTTGGAGGAAGAGTTAGGAATGGCCAAATCAAAACTTGAGGTATTTCTACTGTTGGTTTAAGCCATCCACCTAGGGAGGTGTAGTCTGTCTTGCTGGGGTTCTCACGACGCTAACAAACAATGGCTTGAGTCTGTCGGTGATATGTGGCTGAAGTTTATCATGGATTGATATCAGTGTTAGAGAACCATTGGAATCTTGGTTGTATTGGACATCTGTTTCGTCCGCGTTTGGAACTCTTCATCAGTACGCATCCAAGACTGCGTTGGCTTACGAGACCATTGAGTCATAGTGATGGACTCCGACGGCTATTGAAATATTGGTTAGTTGGACTGTCGCAATTTTATGCAAATTTCTGCGTTAAAAATTGCGCTCATATTTATGATATAATTTGGCTCATTGGCTTGAACACTCGAATTCCCGCTGCTAATAGTGTAACAACAGAAGACAAGGGCCAAGCGACAGATCGTTTATTAAGGAAATCGACACATTTTTGCATTTTCATGTACACATTATTATAGATTATTGTAAGCAAACCAACACAGTCTTCTGATTGGTGGTTTATCGTTGAACGTTAATCTTTCATCTCTTTGTGGCCGTTTATTGAAGTTCAGATTATCTATCTGCAACTTGTATCCGCCTACGCGAAGTCTTCTGTGGTTGGTTGTTGAATCAGTCTTTGTGGATATTTTTCTCACTACCAATATTGAGGACGTAAACATTGACGTAAATTACTGTCTACCAATTTGGCTATAGCAGCCAGCTCTCACCACAGTAGGTTACAAGTTCTCATCCCGCTCCACCACGTACTTCAGCCTGAGCAACTTGATAGTATCATCAATCGTCACATTATGAGAGATGTGGCTAGAGTAATTGGGTTCTGACTAATAATTATATATTATTATGCCCTTCGGGTTCCGAGTGAAACATAGGCCGTCCACATCACATATTTCCATTTCATTCTGTTCTCTACACTCCTCCTCAGCTGGTTGAACGGTCGCCCATAAGTTCTCATCTTCGATGTCACCTTCGGACCAACATCAACTCATCGTCTACTATTTGGGTGCTACTCGAAGTCCACTCTCTGGTGCTTTTATATCATTCAGTGATCTACTCAATGTGTGTCTGATTCATCTCCATTTTTTCTCCTGCATATTCTTTTGGTACTAGCTTCTTGGTTGGTTGGTTGCACTACACATCTCCGTGTTTCTAACCCTTTCTAGCCGGCCATCTAATCTTCAGAATGAAGCGAAGGTGAAAGCTGTTGATAAAAGTTCGCAGTAGCCTGTTAGAAGTGATTTTCCCGACGCGCCGAGTCAGTGAATCATAAGGGGGGGGGACACTTAGATGATGACATTAGTGTTGAGAACACGAGTCTTGTTCTTTATATGTTTGATGCAGTAGATTTCTACGTAGACTTCAGATTATTAAAGGTATATTTTACTTTTTGCGACTCTGGTTGGCTAGATAAGTGAATTTAGTGCCATTCGCCTTTAGATTTACTTCGTTGATAATGACTGGTGTTCGCTGTTGTTGGTTTTGTATCTTCATCACCTTTGTCTAGAAGTTGACTTTACTGCTTCTTCTGTCATCTTGTCAGTTTTCACGTGTAGGTCTTCGAGTTTTTGTGTGACATTAGACATAGATTGCCCGCCAAGTTCTAAATCTTGTAGAGTCTTCTTGTCGACCCAACGTATTACCGTCTTCTCGCTCCCCCCCCCCAACCCTGTCTATCCACTGTCTTCCGCATAACCCAATCCGCCATAATTAGAAATATCATCGGTGATAGTAGGTGGGCAGCCTTTGTTTTACATATGTCTTCACTTGAGAAAGCTTTTACTGAACCTTGTTTTGTGCATCAGTTGACATGTAATAAAGATTTGAGACACTCCGTAGTGTTGAAGCAGTTTCTAAATCTTATTAACTAGGAAGTCAAAAGAAAGTTTGAACAAGGAATATTCTTTTCGATAATATATATGTCAAGATTTGACAGAATAGTTCTAAAATATTTGGGCGCCAAGTGAAAAGTAGACATTTGTAAAAACATATATTTTTAAAATCTCAGCGAGATTGAAATGAGTAATTCCAACGTCTCGTTCGGTAACCTGGCCCGAACTTCTTCAGGGAAATTAATGGAAATTAACATAACAGAGGTTTTTATGTAGAAGGGACATCTCTTGTTTTTAAAAACGTTGTCCAATCATGAGTCATGAAACAGGTATCAACATGTATAATAAACAAAATTGTATTAGCTGTGATCAAAATTTAACCTCGGACTTACAAATATTGGTGTACCTTTTGTTAAACACTTTAAACGGAGTGTGTTTATGTGTGGGTAAATAGTTGTAAAACATTTGTCAACATCTCCATAGGAAAATATAGACAATCGGGAATTTTGACCAAGTATTATTAATAAGTTATACATATCCATTTTTATTTATTAATCAGGACTTGCTTTGTATCAGCTAACATCACGCCTTTATGTCTGTTCAAACTGTTAGTATTTAGAATTTTATGATTAGACGTATTTTCAAAATAATGGTGTTTAGGATTAGAGTTTAGTAGAAGCACCCTGTCGAACTTATTGCTTTGTCTTCTTTTTGAAGATTGAGCTGCTTTATTCGACCTACTGGAGTTGTCAGGTGACTCGACAGCTACAGATTTAGGATATGCATTCTGTTGCAGACAACGGAGATTGAAAACACGATGATTGTGCCAATTACATAGTTTCTTTGTTAATTTAATTCGATTGCAAAATAATTCAAATGAACTGTCATCAAGATTTGACAAAACAGTTCTAAAATATTTGGGCGCCGAGTGAGTAATTCCAACGTTTCCTTTGGCAATCTGGTCCGAACTTCACAAATATATATAATTCTTTTACGTTCCTTGTGGAACATAGGGCTTCAAGCTAGAGGCTTGAAGTTTTGATAGCAGTGGTGTTTATTTTTACGGGTTGGGATTGCTAGTCTCATGCCCAACCTTCCCTCTTTGTCTGGCTTATTACCAGCTAAGCGAGGTTCGGGAGTGCGTCGGTGCACCGGGGGATTGAACCTCGGGCCACCTGAGTAGCCCGCGAGCATTCTACCTTTGTGCCATCGACGCACATATACATATATATATCGATTTGTTAAAGTCGGTGGAGTTACAGTTCAAGGAAGATTCATAAAAACGTGACACTAAATAAAACATCAGATCAAATTGAAGAAATTTAAACAAGAAACTAAGAATCATTAGGACCTTGATAGCCGACTTGAGAATAGAGTCTGAACCGACGACTTTTGACAACATACGTTATTGTCATTATTATTGTTTGCTTTAATTCCTAGAGGAACATAGGGTTTCAGCCGTGCATCTCCATTGAGTTCGGTTCTCTGCTAGAGTCTTCACCTCAGTCCAAGTCTGCCCACACGTTTTCATCTCCTCTTCACATGACCTCCTCCAAGTCACCCTTGCACTGACGACCAACTCGCCGCTTCCCTTTCGGGTTCCACTCGAGCAATGGCTTGTCTAGTGATGTCACTTGATGGTTTCCTCATACGTTAGGACTCTTAATGTAGATTCCAACAGCCTCAGCAACATGTGTAATAGACGAACTCTTGAGGTAAAATTAAGATCAGTAGTCGATATACGGTAGATGACTTTGAAAGTCTCCTTGTTAACATCAATGTTGTGTTCGGTTGTATCCGCATAATGAGATAGTAATAGAGGTATGAATGGGCTTTGTTTGTCCCTTACTTAACCACTTTGCAGGATAGTGTTCAGAAATCCAATGATAAACATGCCTAATAATAAAAATAATAATTTGCTTTATTCCAAAACAGTACTTGTGATAGAGAATGAAATTCTCAGCATTTCACTACAGTATTGCATCCAGTTTGTACATTAACAATAAATAAAATTCTACATAGATTATGGGTAGTCTCAGTTAATTTTGACAACAACATATTAGCATATCGGTAGCAAAGCCAAAAGTGAACAGAATGTTTGTGAGGGTTTTAAAAAAGTAGATACTAGCATATTTACTGGCGTAAGTGGCAACCAAATGGTCGAGATATACAGAGTGTGAAGGAACGAAGAAGAATGTTTTAAGTAGAGTTTGTGAGGAAGAGAGAAACAAAACAGCACATAACAAAAAAAGAGCAAAGGAAAAGAAAGAAAGAAAACGTTGTACCTATAAATGATATGAGTTGGAAAGACGAGATCCAGCTGTTCTACTGACTATTTAATGAATTATAGTTGTCACGCCTAATGCTTTCTTCATCGCACAGAACACGAGCTAAGTACGGTATGGCTGAGTTTTCGTACTTGCTAGTGCTAGCATATAGTTTTCTACATAGGCTTCTAGTTTTGCCCGATGAGATACAAGGGGAGAGTTGTGAATGAAGAGGGTGGTGTGAGTTAGATAAAATGGATTTAGCCCATTTTTCACGAGTCCATATGCCTGTCAACCAGAATATTAACAAGCTGGTTAAGTGGCACGTTGCTTACCCTGCTGACAACCTTTAACATCCTGCATAATATGTTATAGTCTTTCTTCAGTAGCCCGGGAAAAACTAAGGGGTAACAATAGAGAATAATAGGCAGAATGAGAGAATTAACGAATTGTAGGAGTAAGGGTTGAGTTATACGAGAATGTTTTAACTTCTTGATGTAGAAGGTAAGACGGAATATTTTCTTAGAAATCACCAAGATATGAGACGACCAGGAAAGATCAGCAGATAGAATGACGCCAAGATATTTAATTTCCGACTTGGTCTCTATTTCAGTGCTATCTATGTTGCATACCTCGTGAGAGCCAAACAGTTTGTTTAGGTCGGATTTATCCCTAAAGGTGAAATTGACTGTTTGACATTTAGAGGGATTTTAGGTAAAACCGTTTTCCTTGGACCACTGGCTGATTTATGATGAAAAGTCATTTAGTTTGGAGCAGTCACTTTGACACTTGACAAGCAAAGATACAGTCAGATTGTCAGCATATTTAACAAAATTCATGTCATTTGAAGGTGGTAAGTCATGTAGGAAGAAAGAAAAGAGAAGTGGGAAGAGCGCATCACCTTGGAGGACACCAGTTTCAGTGAGCACAACAGAGGAGGATTTACCTTTGTTTGTCCTTTTCTTAACCACTTTGCGGGACTGTATTCAGAAATCCGATGATAAACATGCCTAATTGTACAGCCTATGCAACTAACTGGTTCCACTCGACAGGAGCGGGCAAATTCTTTTAGATGGATATAGAAAAGGCAAAATTAGGCAAAATAAGGGTGGTTTTACAGAGACAGCATAATTTATATGCTTTATTCAATGTATTTTGGTTTCATGCAACGAATTATGTTAATATGATTTTTGTTATTATAATAATTATTATATAGGTCAACAACAACAACAACAAACTGGAAATTCTCCAACTGTTACATCATCAAATTCATCTACTGTAACAAGTACTCCTTCTTCAGTTACTTCGACTACTGCTGGCATTGGCTCCAACGTTTCTACTACTACTGTAATCAATTCTAGTACAACAAACAGTTCTCAGTCGATTCCTAGCAGTAATAAACAATCCTCTCCATCGACTACTAGTGCTGCTAACATCACCACAACTAGTACCACGAATACTACAACTACTGGTAGCTGTCATTGTTCTTCTCATGAAAAAATCCTCTCTAATCCATGTCACCATCATCAATCTTCAGGTCAAGAAGTATTCAATGCATCATATCTAACTTTTGCACCGAATCAAGAAATTAAACACATGATGTCTCCGCCAGCCACTACTACTACTGCTGCTGCTGTTGCTTCTACTGCTACCGGTGTTGCTGCTGCCGGTTGTGCTCCTGTGGTTACTTATGCATCAATTCCTTGATCACCAACCAACCAACCAACCAGATGTAGTAGTAGGAGTTGTTGTTGTTGTTGAAGGATTACTCCATTCATATTTCTTGTCGCTACCATGTTTTTTCAGTTGGATGGATGGATACATGGAAATAGTGCATGTGCTCACACGAGAATGAATAATGCAGTTGTGTGTGAGTGTGTACGTGTGTGTCTGGTGGTTGTTTCTGCCTTTCATTCTTCTTCTTCTTCGCTTTCCTCTTTCCTACAAACAGTAACCATCTATATACCCCCCCACATATATATATATATATATATATATTGATATACACATCACCAACCAACAGAACTACTATTATCACCCTATTACCATATATTCACCTATCTCTCTCTCTCTCTCTCTTTCTCTCTCCGAGTTTCCCTCTGTCTATTTGTCTGTTTGTTTATTAATGATTTTTATAAAAGGAATGGTGGCTCTTCATCACAGACACCCATCCACCCACTTATCCCTCCCTCCCCCCTCTGTATTGTTGTTTCCCCCTTTTCTTTCTTATTCATCCATATATAAATCCACTTCTTGGCTTTTGTTTTCTCTCCTTCATCAACGTTGTTGTCGCCGCCGACGTCCTTCTACTAAATCCCAGCTATACCTGTGTTGTTGTTACTGTTGTTGCTGTTTTTGTTTTCCCTGGACAAAGAGAATCATCTATGTGATGACTTTCAACGAAGGTGTTTTTTCTACAAAAGACAATTTCTATTCTGGTGATATCTTTTACATATACATAATACATATATATACACACACAAATAATCACTGAAATGAACAAACACATCTACACACGCACACACACACGCATGTACACATTGTGTGTTTGTGCGTATGTGTGTGTACTTACTTGTTTCCGTGTTTGTATTTTTTTGGGGCGTATAATTTTATGGCATACTGTATACTACTACCATTATTATTACTACTACTACTACTACTATTATTATTATTATTATTATTATTACTTATCTTTAATTTAATTTATAATGATGTACAACATCATATTGTATTCATGCTCCGGTCTAGGCTGAAATATCTCTCTTCTTATTCCTTCCTTCCTTCCTTTACTGTTGTTGTCTCTCTACATTGCCTTCGATTCTATTCAACTCATGTACTCATCATTACATCACAACAATTACAGTTATTCTATGCGGTGGTCAAGTTTGACTAGGGAACATCGTACACTGATCCTTGTTTTCTGATCATGAATCATGCTTTTACGCCCACCCTCGCCCCCGCCCACGCACCATCCTTGCCCATCCTCCCACACCCCATTAATTAATGTCTTCGTCATCATTTTTATCACCTACCAGCTATGCATATGTTGTAATATGTATTATATATATTATGCAATACACACATCGACCACACCGTCCATATGTAGATATAATAACAGTTTATATTATTAATTAGTTTTGTGTGTGTGTGTGTGCGTGTATACCGTAATGTTTTTTTGCCTCCTTCTGTTCTCTATCCTATTTTTCGTATTCTGGTACTGTTGTTGAGAAGTGTGCCTGCGCGCGCGCGCTCATGTTTTCGACAAAGTCTCTCCCCACCCTGTCACCGCCTCCATTACCACCACCGCTGCCGCCTCACCTTTTCGTTTCATAATAATTTCTTTTTAGTAGATGATGATGATGATGGCCAACTTTCTTTTGTCTATTTTCTCCTCCTCCTCCTACGCCTCCTTTTCCTCGTGTGTGTGTGTGTGTGTTGTACTGTGGCAGCATTGTATTAATTCTATGAAGAAGAAGTAAAAAAGTGGAGAAGATGACATGAACAATCTTTCGTGAGTTGTGATGATCATGATGATGATGATGATGAACCGCGTGTGAAATGAAAACGAAGAAAGCTTTCGTTTGTTTCTCTTGTGTGTTTTCCGCTTCTTTGTTTGTTTCTTTCATTATTTATTTATTTACAAATGTTTGGCGGCATCTCTACATCTACTATTTTACTGAATGATGTGAGATGAAGAGAGAAATATTTGACGACCTTGTTTATTGAATTGGTGTGTGTGTGTGTGGAGTGTGAGCAGTGTTCAATCCAGTGTTGTTGTTGTTTTTTTTCACTGAAAGAAAATTATTCAATATACAGTTGATAATCAGGAGTTCATTTCGCATTATATCTTTAATAATAATAATAATATGTACAATAACAAACATAACAGAGACTTCTTTCTATACAGAATGTGTATTTTATTGGAAATATGACGGTTATGATGACGTCATCAACACCTTTCTACTTTATGATCACTTTATACACATATATATATATGCGTGTATGCGTGTACACATACTACATATATCTGTCATCCTCTCCGCTCCCCTCCCCTACCTCCTTGCTTTAAATCCAGCTCATACTGCTGATATTCTCTTAAATTTTCTCTTGATGATATCTTGTAATTCTCTTGCACTCCATAAAACACTGCTACTCTTGTCTGCTTCAAATCACTCACTCTGCTTGATATTGTCGGTGGTGGTGGTGGTGTCTGTTAGCGAATGTGATTGATTGATTCTCCGTCTTACTATTCCCCCTTTTTCTCCTGTTTCTGTGCTTATTTCTTACCGAATTTCCTAATATGTGGATCTTTTCTTTTGTGCCGCCCCCTCCCCTCTGCTGCTGCTGGCTGCTGATGTATCTTTTATGTATTTTGATGGTGAATTCTACACACAACACTTCCTTCACACATTTCTGTTTTTTTTTCTGATTTCTTTTACACACAGTGATGATGCTGATAATGTGTGGTCTTAATCCATTATGATAACCTGGTGCGCGCGGTGCCCCCCAGGTGCTGATCCATGTTTCTATCCATTTTTATATCACACATTCTATTATACACACACACCTTTCCTCTCTTCTTGTATTTATCATATTTATGAGCGATGAAGCCTTCCCCCCTCCCTCTGTTTCTCTTTGTGTTATATTCAGCTGACTTGTTGTGTAATTTATTCATACTTATATATTGTGCCTTGATGACTATAATAATAATTACTATTATTCACCAGTAAGTGCTCGACAACATACTTATTTATTGATTTATTTATTTGTAGCGTATTTTATTTCCTCTTGTGGTTTGTTGTATTGAAAGACAGACATCGTCGTCATCATCACCGTCATCAACAACATCAATGCCAACTGACTAAAATGATTCCTCCCGTCCCTCTGTTCTCATTGTTTGTTCATCTAATGTTACAGCAGAGTAGAAATAATGCAACAACTACTTGTACTATTTATTCATGGAATTCTTTCTTTGACGAAGACATCCTCTGGACGACTGTTGTTACTATTATCATCATCATCATCATCATAGCCATCCCATATTCATTCTACTTACTATACATACCATTGTGTTGTTGTTGTACACTTTTAGCATAATGATGCAAGAACTTTCTTTCTCTGCTTATTTGTTTTTCTCTTTCTTTCTTTAAGGCGGCGTGCTTCATTTCGTGTGTGTTGTCGTCATCGTCGTTGTTGTGTTTCTCGCCAGCTTCATTTTTTTTCTTTCGTTTCAAAGACAAAAAGACAATTACTTTACTTATTTATATTTTGATGAAGGTTGGGAATTATATTGTGAGTGTCGACTCATTCAATTCATTCATTCATCGATCCATCCACCGAGCGATCCACCCATCCATCCATCCAAGTTATCTGTTCATACTTATTCCATTGACAATTGCCTACCTGTCTGTCTAATTAATTTTGGTTAATTTTGCCCCTCCCACAGTGTCTTTTTTCGTTTTGTTTTGTTTATGTTCACCGGTGTGCTTGATTTGTTCCTGCTTGAGAAAAGGGAGACTTTGGCTACACGACCACCACCGCCGCCGCCGCTGCCTCCTCCTCTTCCTCTCATCACCATCATCATCATCAGTTTAACTATAATTTATCTTTAATACGTCTTGTGTAGGAATTATTGTTAAATTTTGGAAAAAAAATCTTTTTTTGTTTTGTTTCTGGAGGCTTCTTCATTCAAATATGAACTGTCGTACACACACACACACATTGCTAATCATGATTTCTTTATTATTTCTATGATGTGCAGTCTTGTTTATGTATGTATAGATATATATATACACACACACAAACACGTGTATCTATGTATCTATAATCATCATCATCTCTGGGTACTTTTTTAATAAGAAGAGGAGATTCTGTGTCTCGTTTCCGCCTTTCCCCGCCCCCCCTCCCTCCTTTCCTACTTCCATCAGACTCACACACACATCTATGCCACCGATCAACTAGCCAGTCAGCCCCGCAGCTCTAAACTCTTCTATACCCCCCCTGCCCCCATCCTTACAACAACTATTCGCCAAATATTTATGTCGTATAATAAATAAACCAGCTTTTCTCTTTTGAGTTTGTCTCATTTTTCTATAAGCCTTACCGGTATGTTGGTATGATATAATAGGTATTATTATTATTATTATCATTATTGTGACTAACTGTCTCAAAATATGATGATTGACCTGTGTGTGTTGGGGGGGGGATCAGTTATTTTTCTCTTGATCGCAATATACTACTACTGCTAGTAGTGTACTACTTACTTACTTACTTGCTATTGTACGCTTCTTATGATTGTATTTTGTACTAATAATTATCATCCATCCTTACTTATTATCATGAAGTGTAATACAAAGAGGGGGGGGATTGGCGAAAAAAAAACTTATTCCCTCCCTGATGCTGATCGACACATGCTTTGACCTTTTTTGTTTGTTTATTTTTTTTCTCTGACTAATTTTCCTGTTTTTATTTTTAAACAAAATATACTGATGACAATAATAATAATGATAATTTATAAACTATATTATTTCAAATTACCAATACACATATATAAATGCCTTAGGATGATGAATATGTTGTATTATGTAACATTCTGTTTTTTATTTTGAGCACGGGGTAGGGTGGGGTGATTCCTTTTTTCTAGAAACAATTTCTTCATAAGTGTGTGTGTGTGCGTGCGTGTATCTTTGTAATCGCTAATGTGCCCT